ATTTATTGGAGTTCTTTGAAGTAGTAACTTATGGTGTAGATTAAGGAGAACCAGTGGATTCATTGTACTTAGTTTTTCAGAAGACATTTAATAAGGTGCCACATCAAATGTTATTGCAGAAAATAAAAGGTCACAGTGTTGTTGTATATCACATAGATAGAAGATCACTTCCTGTTTGCCTAGTAAAGAATAGGAATAAATGGATCTTTTTCAGGGTGGCAAGATGTCACAAATAGCATGCCAAAAGGGTCAGTGATGGCGATCCAACTTTTTACAATTTATATAAACAATTGGACGAAGGAAGCAAAGCGATGATAGCTAAATCTGTTGATGACATGAAGAAAGGTAGGAAAGCAAACTGCGAAGAGGACATAAGGAAGCTACAATGGGATATAGATAGGCTAAGTAAGCGGACAAAGATCTGGCAACTGGAGCATAATGTGGGAAGATATGATTGTAGCAAAAGAATGGTGAGAGTTTACAGGACACTGAGGTGCAGAGAGATCTGGGTATCCTTGTGCATGAATGGCAGGAGGTTAGCTTGCAGGGACAGTAAGTAATCAGGAAAGTAAACAGAAAATTACAGTTTATTGAGAGGAGAATTGAGGAGGTTATGCTTCAGTTGCAAAGGCATGGATGAGACGCATCTCGAATACTGTGTACAGCACTGGTCACCATACATACAGAAGGATGGTGATGCAGTGTGGGCAGTTCAGAGAAGGTTTACTTGACTAATACCTCGAATGGGTAGATTGAGTAAATGCCAGACAGGCTAGGCCTATATCCACTGGAGTTTATAAGATTCAGAGGTGACTGAATTGAAACATAAGAGTTTGAGGGGAGTTGACCAGATGGATGTCAAAAGGATGTTTCCTCTTATGGAAGAATCTAGAATGTAGAATTAGAGGTCATAGTTTAAAAATAAGCAGGCATGCACTTAAGACAGAGGTGAGGAAAAATATTCTCTCAGAAGTCTGAGACAGTTGGAATTCCCTTCCTCAAAAGGTAGTGAGTGGTGAATCGTTAAATATGTTTAAAGCAGAGGCAGATAGATTATTGAATACCAAGAGGGTGACAGACTGTTGGGGGTATGCAGAAATATAGAGTGGAGGTTAAAATCAGATCAAGTATAATCTCATTGAATGGCAGAGGAAGCTCCAAGGAGAAGTGGCTTACTCTTGATCCTTGTACATATTTATTGAAGCAGTCACCATTGAAATGCTGTAAGAAGATCCACAGTGTACCAGAATACATTTTAGAACAATAATAAAGATAATAATGGTTTCGTGTGACTATGTAATGCGAAGCAATGCAAGCGTGGAGTGCAAGGGACCACGTATTTTTCTTTTCACCATAAACTAAAAAATGGAAGTTGGACAATGCTCTATAGCTAAATGGAACTAGGAGAGTTTGTTTTTGCAACTTGAAGATTAAGTGAGTTTGTGTCGTATACATTTTAGTTACACGATTATGTTACTTTTTCAAGCAGTGAGGTTGTTACTTTATGATGCCAAGTGGGACAAGGCATCTTTTAGTGAAGGAAAATTGACAGATGACAGTCTTTGGATTGATCTAATTGCAGTTCATTATAGACCTGAGAGTCATGTGCACTCAGACATTCAGAAGTTTGTAAACAGAAGCAGCTCTTAATATTTCTCCTTAAGTGAAAAAAAGACAAACCTAAACACTTAAGAAATAATTCTAATGCAAGAAAAGATCTAAAACAGCTCTTGAATCCAAGACTGATCACCACTCTGCAGACAACAGCATGTCCCCAACACTTCTAAAAAAAAAACAAAAGGACTCCTAGAAATAAATCAACCTTGTGTCAGGTTTTTGACCTACAGAATTTCTTTCCATTTGTGTTTTTGCACTGCATTAGTTGTGTCATATCATCTGTTTTGTATGGCTTGTCCATAAATTCTTTTTTTATTCATTCATGGGAGGTGGCATCACTGGCTGGGCCAGCATCAATTGCCCATTCCTAGTTGCCTTTGACAAGGTGGAGGAGAGTGGCTTTATTGAACTGCTACAGTCAATTTAGCGTAGGTACCCCACAATGCGATACTGAAGCAGAGGCAATATATTTCCAAGTCACGACTGTGAGTGGCTGGGAGGTGAACTTGCAGGTGGCGTTCCCATGTGTTTACTGCCCTCGACTTTTTAGATGGTAGTTGTTGTCGGTTTGCAAAGAGCTAGCTGAGGAGTCTTGGTGAATTTCAACTGTACATCTTGCAGATGGTGCATACTGTTGCTACTCAGTGTCATTTATGGAGGAAGTAAATGCTTGAAGATGTTGTGCCGATCAAGTGGGCTGCTTTGTCTTGGATGGTGTCAGGTTTCTTGAGTGTTGTTGGAGTTGCACATATCCAAACTAATGGAAAGTGTTCTTTCATATTCCTTACTGTGTCTAGTGGATAGTAGATAGGTTTTGTGAGTTAGGCAATGAGTTACTTGCCAAAGGATTCCTAGTCTCTGACCTGCTGTTGCAGCCCACAGTACTAATTGGCTAGTTCAGTTCGGTGTCTGATCAACAGCAACCTCAGGATGTTTATAGCCGTGGATTCAGGAATGATAAAGCTTCTGGATGTCTAGGGGCAATGGTTGGATTCTCTCTTATCGGACGTGGTCAATGCCTGGAATTTGTGTGGTTCAACTGTTATTTGACACTTGCCAGCCCAAGCTTGGATGTTGTACAGGTCTTGTTTCATTTGGACACAGACTGCTTCACTATCTGAGGAGTCACAAATTGCGCGGAACATTGCACAAACATAAGTGAACATACCTACTTATAATTTCATGATGGCACAGAAGTCAATGATGAAGCAGCTGAAGATGACAGGGCCTAGAACACTACCCTGAGGAATTCTTACAGAGATACTCTAGAGCTGAGATGACTGACCTCCAACAACCTTTGTGCCAGGTATGACTCCAACCAGTGGACAGTTTTCCCTGATTTCCATTGACTCTAATTTTGCTAGGGCTTAATGATGCCACCCTCATTCAAATGTGGTTGTGATGTCAATGGTAGTCTCACCCCTCTCACTTCTGGAATTTCAGCTCTGTGTTCATGTTTGAAACAAGGCTGTAACGAGGTCAGATGCAGAGCTGCCTTGAAGGACCATAAATTCAACTTCTGTGAGCAGGGAATTGCTAAGCAGGTGCAGCTTGATAAGGACGACAGTTTCCATCATCTTACTGATAATCGAGAGGAGATTGATGGGGTGGTAATTGGCAGCACTGAATCTGTCCTGCAGTTTGTAAACAGGACATACTTGGGCAATTTTATACCTTGTTTGGTACTTGCCAATGTTGTAACTGTGATGGAACAGCTTGGGTATGGGCATGACTGGCCTTTACAATATTCAGTGCCTCCATTTATCATAGCTTAATATCATGTGAAGTGAATCAAATTGACTAAAGAATAGCAATGAAATGCTGAGGACCTCTGCAGGAGCCAAAATGGATCAGCCACATGGATGATTATTGCAACTGCTTAAGCCCTATCTGTTACACTGATGTGCTGGGCTCCCCCTTATTCAGAATGAAGATAGTTATGGAGCCTACACTTCCACTGAGTTATTTAATTCTCCACCACCATTCACAATTGGATGTGGCAGAACTGCAGACTTCAGATCTGGTCCATTGGTTTTGGAAACATTTAGTCCCATCTAATCACTTGCTACTTATGTTGCTTGGCACTCACGTGGTCCTGTTCTATAGCTTCACCACATTGATATCTAATTTTAGGTACGCCTGATGCTGCTCCTGGCAGGCCATCATACACCCTTCAGTGAACCAGGATGATCCCTTGACTTGAGGGTAATATTAGAGAAAGAATATATTGGGCCACGAGTTTGAAGATTATTTTAGAGTACAATTCTACTGCTGCTCATGGATGACCAGTCTTGAGTTGCTAGGTCTGTTTGAACTCTGACCTATTTAGCACAGCATTAGTGCCATGTCACACAATGGAGGGTATCTCTCAATGTGAAGACTTTGTCCTTAGAAGAACTGTGTGGTGGTCGCTCTCGCCAATATTGTCACGAATGGATGCAAATCCAGCAGGCAGATAGGTGAGGATGTGATCAAGTATGCTCTTTTCCCTCTTGTTGATTCCTTCACCACCAGCTGCAGATCTGGCCTGGCAGTTTTATCCGTTAGGAGTTGACCACTTCAATCACTGATGTTGTCAAGCCAGTCTTGGTGATAGATGCTGAAGTCTCCCACTCTCAGTACATTCTGCATCTTTGCCACCCTCAGTGCTTCCTATATGTGGTGTTCAAGATGCGCATTTGAGTTTTTAAAAGGGGTATAATTTACGTTGCATGGTAGCAAATTAATTGTCCATTTTATGCCATTTGTTAAAGAATAACTTTGTTCACAATTAATAGAGTTATTTTCCTCTTAATGACAAAATCTGGTGTGAATTACTTTTGTCAATGACAATCCATCTGGCAAATTGAACATCTTGGCCATTTAATTGGGTTCTTACATATTTATGTCAGCGCGTGGAACAATGGGACTCATTTATCAGCATACTTTTTCCACTTGAGGGTGACAAAAGCAACATGAAGAGTCATAATGCTGAAACAGCAGAGGAGTATGTAGTGTTGAAATAGGACAAAAATAAAAAGAAAAGAAAGAGATAATTGCAGTACAGTCATATTCGATGCAGCTGACACATTTTCTCACTACCTTAAGTGCCTTCTTGCACTCTGTGTGGCCCTTCTTTACCAAAATTATGAGCTTAGCATTGAAGTAAACTGACCTGAATGTATAGCAATACTTCATAAGACAGTGTTCCTTGCTCACCATACACTTCTCTTTGGTGATAATAAAAGTGTAGCCAGCTACAGCATTTAAGTGTTCATTGAGTGAGTAGAATGTGTGGTCGCAGTAGGGAGATGGTGTTATTCTTTGGAGTGCATCTTCCAGTGCCTATACTAGAAATAGTCTATGTTGAAAAAATATCAGTCACTGCACAAGTAGACACTTACCATTTCATTTTGTATTCCAATATGCATGGCATCCCATCAGAATCACCTGTGATCTACACAAAATCAGATTGTAGCATGTCACTGTGACACATAATTCACACCATTAAGGGTGTCTCAAACTGATCTGGTATCAACAGCCTCCTGCTTTTAAGTTGGAGTACAAGCTTCACAGCTCCAGAAATAGTGTTCAAAAGGGAGAAAATGTGTTTCACTTTGCTCCTTCTAGCCTCCAGATCACCTTGAAGATAATAAGTCACTATAATATATAGCATTACAAAAACACATTACAGAACGTACACATGGCTGCACACACCGCAAAAATTCCTGCAAAGTGTACAGCACTATCTTAAAAATGCCAGTGACTGATCAACTCCTTTCTGAAGACTGACCAAATAGGGAACTAACTCCTCATTCTTTGGAATGCTCACAGGAGTATTTTGGGTTGCTTTGCTTGGTACTTGCTTGCCTTTTCTTGGTTGCCACATACATCTGTTGTTCTTCACAGGTAATGGTGACTTTAAGTTGTTACATCATCTTCACATTTATCATCTATTTTTCACCCAAGGATCTATGATGACACTGATGCAATGTGACATGTGACAACATTGGGTGAAGTGCTTTGCTCCTGAATGCCATCAATTAATGTTGCTTCATCTTGAGAAGACCCCACAGGGAGAAAGGGATGCACTACAAAAGTTACAAAGGACATAATAGTTGCCAAGAACAGGATGACATAACCCCCTCCTGCAAATCTTTCCTAGGTTTATTCATTGTGAAGTACTTGCATGTCATCAGGACGGGAAAAATACTACATATTTGGAAATTCATTCTTTCTTCATTAAGTTTAATTGGACTGACCAACAGAAGTGAAAGAGAAAACAACACTTAAATGTTTCCTGGAGAAAGTAGATAATGACACAACCAAGTAGTATAATTACTTTCTCTCGAGTTGTCCTGACAATACAAGCCATTCAATAATACAATAAATCTGAACTATATTTTATTCTCGTAGAAAAAGAGATCATACTGATGCTTTGGAGACCTGTAATAACTTGCACTGACTCATACCAACTACACAAATCATTAAGATCTAATTAAATAAGAAATTAATGCAGCCTCTAACTTATTGCTGGCTTCTAACAAAATATTTACTGCAATTAAAGGCAAATTAAAGGTTATTTGAGAAAATGCTGAATCTTACCAAACTTCAGTCTTCTGACACTGCTTTAGTATGAGGTATGTCTAACAATTAATCTCCCAGCCATGTTATTGCAACTTTTGTGTCATCGTGTCAGATCTATACAGCAAAAAAGGGCAACAATGAATATTAGTCAATTACAATAATGACTGATGACTTTGAATAAAAGCATGATGCAGATTTATTTCTAACATAATTCCAATATGAATTTGATGTACTAAACTACTTTTCATTCATTCTGCACATAGGATTCCAGGTCCAAATGTAAGTACAATATGTTCCCTGATTAAACTGTCATTGCTCAACACAAATTGGGTCAGTTCAGTCATTGATCATCGTTTGAGCTTACTGTACATTTCTCAGATTAAATATCGTCACTAATGATTAATTTAAGATGCAGTCTGTTCAAATAGTGTTATAACTAGCTTTATTTTAAAAATGCATGTGATCTACTATTTAACAAGCATCAAGTTATTTAACAAAACTGTGTTATTGGGATTATATACTTAGCATTACTTACAATACAACTACAGTACCAGACGCCATTCCAAGTCCAAGAAGAGTGAACAAACAATGTTACATGGAGTTCTTGTCCTCAGTCATACCGAAAACATTTTGCAATCAACTTTTTTTAATTATTGTATCCTGATTATTAAGAATCAAACTGAATTTACAAAGTTTGCAGTATAATTGCACCAATATCATATTTTAGCAACAATTTTTTCCAGGAAATATTGATGTTTATCTACAACATTTCTTTTTTATCCTCACCAAGATCCAATGACAGCCACTCTTTTATTCAGCTAGCTCAAACATAGTGCAGGAATTCAAATGGTCTATATGATGCTTCTACACAAGGAAGAATGAGCAGGGCGTGACTTTGCACAAATATATCCTGTTCAGCTTCCAGAGAATAAGGAGATGAATACGCAGAAGAGACAACTGCATTTAATTAGAAGCAGTAGAACTTTTCTTTAAAGCAAATACATTGATACACCCTATTAATCAGTTACCTATTACAACTGCAACAACTTATTGATTATAAATCACACGACTCTTTTGGCACATTTTCTTAAACACACAACCATTAAACAGAAAGGTGCAGAGCTGGATGAACACAGCTGTTAAACCTACTCTGAGTCAGGATGCAAAGCAACCAAGTAGCTGTTCAACTCCTTTCGTATATGCATGAGCATTTTTCTGCTCAGCAGATATTAATACTACTGACACATTTTTCTAAAATAATATAGATCAACTTAAATTCAACAGTAGTGTATCCTAAAAACTCACTTCCTCCTCACAACGGAGAAATACATAGACGTAGTACAGAAATATAGTACAGTATAGAAGATGCACATCATACTCTACCACAAAGGAAAGCACTAAGGGAAAGAACTAAACTTACCCAACAGAAACAAAATGATTTCTAACAAAACTTCTGGTTATTTCTAAAAGTAGAATACGGTGGATGCTGGAAAGCTGAAATAAATAAAAAAAAATACAGATATTCAGCAAAGATGTTTAAAGATTGTCGAACTGGAATGTGCTCTCAGGTCTTTCTCCAGCATTTCTAACTTGATTTCATCTGTGAAAGCATTTCCAGTGTTCTTTTTCATTTACTTTACTGCCTTTGAAGACTTCCTATTTCAAACAAAAACCATGGCAGCCTGTATCCCATCCTGTATTTATAATCACTGTCTCTCCTCAATGACAAAAATCAAAGTGCACTCCAAAATAACAAAGGTCAAGTATTTTGCCTGATTTCCAAGAGATTCTAAAAATCACAACTTTTAGTCTATGTGGAAAATATTATCGACAGTGCATATCAACTTTTGTGAAAATATATTTTCTGTACAAAATGCCAGTATTAAATGTAACTCTTACTTTCAAATATTTCCTAAATAAGAATCATCCAAGTAAATCCTGGAATGTGACTAGAAGCCATGCTCACTCAGTCTGCTTTCCCCTGCAAACAATGGTGACGTGGTAAACCAATACACTTTTAGGGACAGAGATTAATATTATCACTTATTTGCCATTATAATGCTAAGCCCTTCAGAGAAACTGCCACAAGGAGAAAAAACTCTATTGGTGCCTCATGCTGCTGGCAATATTCCATGGGGGAAAGTGCTGAAAGAGCTGGCCCTGGCCAGCAAAGCATCTATCACATTCTTCATGCTCCAGTGAATTGTGGATTGAGTAACTTCACATATATCTCCTGAGGTGGCTTGATATGACGCAGTTCAAGGCTGAGGTCATTTTAACAGTACTTGCATAATTGTCCCTATTGTTAATCTTGTCTAGAGATCTGGTTCCTAGGTAAACTGTACGTGACAAAGACAGATCTCAAACAACGATAACTTTCATTTATGTAGCTCCTTTAATGGAGAAAAATGTCTCATGAGTGCAGGAGTGAAAGCACAAAATGGACGCCGAGTCAAAGAAGATACTGGAGGATAAAGCATTGTTTAGACTTGGTTTTCAGCCCAGATTCACACTGTGCAGTCATTCTATGCCTAATCACAAGCAGAGATAAAAAGTAAAATTGCTCAGTGGCCATCCATATCACAATATATTACCAGTCGGCACTAGATACTAGTTGCTTGTTGCCTAGCAGCTGGTCTTATCAGAGGTGTAAAAATCATGTGGCTGTAAAGCAATTTAAAAGCAATCTGCACTTTTTAGAAGGGCAAAGCACACAATGGACACAGGCAATCAAATGAAAGAAATGTGAACATGACAACTATGCCAAGCTGTAGTTACAAGAGTCATCCATTTTTTTGTCATGCCAAGTACGGGTTTGGGTTAAACTTCATAGCTTGCTTTTAAATGGACAGCTGTGTTTTAAGGTACTTGACAACACATCAATTTGGCAACATCAACTTCAGACGAGACTCAAAACTCAAGAAACTACTTCATTAATGTATCGATAATTACAACTTATGAAATTCATGCCTAACTGTTTAGGTTTGGGACTTGCAAACAATCTGTCTCCATGTTTCATTAAGAACAAAAGGAAAGATTGAATCTGAACTTGTGGCAAGTCAAATTGAACAGGTTCTATTAATGTGTTATCATATCACAATGGTTCTTCCCTTTGAGGCAGAATGAGAGGGCCTCAGAAGCAATGTTCCTTCCAGGTCACGGAGCTGGGTAACAGCTTTGCTCACGTTAATTGGGACACCAACACATTGACTTCCCATTCTGGAAGTCACTGCCGCACAGGAACCTTTGAGGTGTAGTCACAAGAAACATTACAGGGAATGTAACTCAGAAGCGCTAACCCTGCAGTGATGTGTCCAAAACTGGTTTCAAGAAGTGCAATTATTTACCCCAAAAACTAACAGGAAAAACAAAAGCATCGTAAACCATCATAACCTTCAGTCATCAGCTAGAAACCAACTCCGATGCATTATTCAGTGAAAGAATTGTACCGGTTCCGCCTTAGGTTTACGAGAAAAAGTCACCTCCAGGGAGATCAACACCAAGCACCATCGCAGTTGCTAACAAAATCTCTGCAACTTCATAACCTCATTCTAGCCAAAGCATCAACTCAACAAATAAACATCAGTCTAGCACTGAAATAGATTTTAGCTAATATGTGTGACAGAGAGGGGAAAAATGTGGGTTAGTCAAGTCAGTAGATATCATGTTTCTATTAACCTCTGGAGCAAACGTGTGAAACAAAAAAAAATTTAAATTCTATCTAAAATATTCAAGGACTTGCTGCTGGGTTATAAAAATTGCATAAATCCACTCAAATACACACATTCACACACAAATAAACTGATTGAGGCTTTAACTAAATGACAGTTTTGATTAAAGTTCGGTTTTAGTTACCTAGTTTATAGAACAATACACGGTAAAGGTACAAAAGGTATAGATAAAAATCCACTTGGGATCACAGGTATTATTGTGATAACAATGTTCCTCAAACAGTTGTTCTCTCCACTTCCTAAGACCCACACTCAATACCATGAACCACCACATGCACACTCTCAACCTCACTCTCCATCAGCACTGCCACACACTACCTCAGAACTGGCTAGCCCCTCAGTTCCACTTCATTCTCGGACTCATTTGACTTTCTAACGACAAACTTTTTCTTTTTCTTTCAGGCATTAAAAAGCTAGTTGAAAGCTAGCTTCAACAATTCAGGGGTGTCCATGCCATTCTGGATCATCCCTCCCCTCCTCTGTTCTCAATCTTCCTCCCTTCTCCTAACCTTACCTTGTCAGTATTTATTATACCTTCTGATCTTTCACTCTGATGCTGAACATTCCAAACTCAGCAAAGATCTTAGTTTTAGCCCTCTGCACCCCTGCCGTAATGAATTTCGGGCACAACGTGACGTTGAACTCTTTTTCTGTTGCCTTCGCCTCCATGTCCATTTCTTTGGGCAAGAGTCCTCTCCCTGCCCCACTGACCACTTCACCTGCCTCCAACACTTTCCCTCCACTTGGACCCCTCCCTCTAGCCTTTTATCTACACTTGAACTGTTCATTGAGAACTGTTGACATGACATCGGTGATCTTAATTTCTCTGTCCCTTGCATCCATTCGAACCTATCTCCCTCTGAACTGACTGCACGCTATGCTCTTGGATCCAACCTTGACTTTCTAATCAAGCTTGCCAACAAGGGTGATGCTGTTGTTGTGTGGTGTACTACCTCTATATCATGGAGTCTGAGCACCAGCTCTCAGACACCTCCTCCTATCTCTCCCAGACCATGACCCCACCATCGAACATCAGTCTATTTTGTCCATGACTGTTACCATCTTATCTTATCTGGGGATCTCCCACCACCACCTCCAAGTTCATAATCCTTCCTGTATAGCCTACTTCTACTTTCTTCCCAAGTCCATAAACAGCACTGCCCAGGCAAACTCACTGTTTTTGCCTATTCCCGCCGGGCGGAACATTTCTTTTCATAACCTGACATGACTTTTCCCCTTTGTCCAGTCCCTTCCCACTTACTCCGAGTTTCTAATGTCAGTTCCAGAATTTCCCAGTTTGCCAACATCAGCTACCTCTCTTCACCTTGGATGTGCAATCCCTTTATACATCCATCTCTCATCAGATGGTCTTAGGGCTTTCCACCAATTCCTTGAAAAAAGGCCTGAACCATCTCCATCCACCACTTCTCCTTGAACAACTTCCCCTTTCACTCCTCTCACTTTTTGTGGATCAAAGATCTGGCCCACACGGGCCCCAGTTATGCTTGTCTCTTTGAGGGGTACGTCGAACATTCCTTGTTCCAATCCAACTTGGGTCCCTCCCCATAATTCTTTCTCTGGTACACAGATGACATCATTGGTGCTGCTTCCCTCTCTTGTCTGGAATTGGTAAATTTTATCAATTGTTCCTTTCGCTTTCTACCTGGCTCTCATCTCCAACTGGTCCATCTCTGATTCTTCACTTCCCTTCCTCAATATCTCTGTTTCCATTTCTGGGGATAGGTTGGTCACTACAAACTCGCCGACTCCCACAATTACCTTAACTAAATGTCCTCACGCCCTGCTTCCTGGAAAAACACCATTCCATTCTCTCAGTTTCTTCGACTCTGTCGCATTTGTTCTAATGATACCACTTTCCAAGGGACAGGAACCTCAGAAACATCCACATTTTCCCTCAAACGAGGATTCTCCACCACAGTGGCTGACAGGGCCCTCAGCCATGTCCAATTTATTTCCTCACAATTCTGCCCTCACCCCTTCTCTTCCCTCCCACAATACCAATAAGCATCCCCCTTGTTCTCACTTTCCATCCCACCAGCATCCAAAGGATCATAAGCCCTATTTTCACAACCTCCAGCAGGATCCCACCGCCAGATACATATTCCCCTTCCTTTCCTTGCCAGCATTTTGCAGAGTCCATTCCCTCCAGACATCCTGGTCCACGCCTGTTACACTTGCATCACCTCCCCACAGTCCAACTGTACCTTCTCAGCAATCACAAAAAGGTGCAATACCTACCCAGTCACTTCTGCCCTCCTTGTTATCCAAAGCTCCAGACGTGCCTTCTGAGTGAAGCAGATATTTACCTGCACTTCATTTAATCTAATCCACTGTATTCGTTGCTCACAATGTGGTCTCCTCTACACTGGAGAGACAAAACGCAGACTGGGTATACACTTTGTGAACACTTACAATCTGTCCAGAAAAGTGACCTGAGTTTTAGGTTGCCTGCCACTTCAACACACTGCCATTTTCCCTGCTCAACGTCTCTACTTCTGGACAACTGCAGTGCTCTAGCAAGGTTCAGCACAAGCTGGAAGAACAGCATCTCAGTTTCCTCTTGGGGACCTTGCAACCTTTAGGACTTAATATTGAGTTCAATAATGTTAGAACCTGAACACTTCCACCATGTCCTTTACCCATCCCGACATCCGTGGCCTTGACATGATATGAACAAAAACAAAGTTGCTGGAAAAGCTCAGCAGGTCTGGCAGCATCTGTGGAGGAGAAAACAGAGTTAAC